GGGGGGGGGTTGACAGAACTTGATTGGAAAAAGTGACAGATTCTGAAATCCTAACAAAGAATTTTGGCACCAGAACATGTTCTGAATTCTGAATTGTGTGTCCCCATATTATTGTTCAAAAATTTTGATCCACTGTTTTTTTGCATCAGAGAACAATGTCAAATGTAGAATGAGTCAAATGAGGTTTATGATACGACAAAATGTGGGGTGATCATAACTGGCACATTGCTAAATTGTCCTCCGAAGACGCAGGAATAGTTTGTATGAAATGAGCGTCTTTCTCCTTGTAAAGTCACCATCCCTAGCTTACCTGTTATGAGCATCAGAAGCAAGCACGCTGTCCAATCATTAAACAAAGGTGTCAAAAATGCCAACATTAAATCGCCATGACTAGTCAATGTACAGGAATCCTTTATTAAAATAAATATGGGCACTGCCATTGCTGACCTCATTTTTAAAATGCTGGTTGCCTGGTTATTTTGCTGACCCACTGGCTTCAGCAAGTCACTGACCTGGCACACATAAGCCTATCAGAGCAAAGTCAAAACTCCTTATTTGCATACCTGTTCTGGACTAGTGATTCCGAGTTTTTAAGAAAAAGCAATTAGTATTTGCATAATCAGAATTCAGTATTGCTTTTTCCAGTTTCTTTTAAATTTTAAAATGGCCTTAGGTGCTTTATACAAAAGATCATTTAGTGCTGATTCACATAACAGACTCTCAGTTACTTGCTATACCACACTGGTCAATGGACTTTAAATAAAAAGGCAAAAAACAAAATAAGCTTTCTGATTACCTTTGTATTCCATGCTGTCTGTACCACAATAAATAAGATGCAAGTCTACTATTAACTACTTCATTTTACGATTACTATATAGTGTTTACTATTAAACTATGCCCAGTCTAGGCTAATCCTTTACTCACTAGCTATTTTCACACAGGTATTTTAACTTTATGCTTTCCCCTTTATTCTACATTTATCTTCCACAATGATTGAACACTACAAT